AATATATTTTTCATAAACATATGTATGGTATTACTAAGTTATTGACTATTGATGCTTGAAGAATATTTCAAGAATTATTTGAGAAAAGCAGCTTTAAAGTATATTATTATCATAAATTTGTAATAGCAAAGATGTCTAAATAAACTGGAAAAGAAAAAAGAGTGAAAAATTAGTAACTTATAATAAATGAATTAACTAAAAGATTACATAATAAATATTGAGAAGTTGAAGAGAGAAGTAATGGTAGACAAACAGAGATATTTATTTTTAAGCTAAAAATTTCTTTAAATTCTATTTTTAATGAGCTTGATGTAATTTAATTTTATTATAATTTTTTTATTACAACTTTTTTTGATTACAATTATATTTTCTTCATAAGTTAGATATTCAGGTTTAAATTCACTGGTTAAAAATATCTTGGTAATAAGAAGAGATAATAAATAACTTTTTTTTGGCAAATTGAAAGAAATAAATTTTTCTTTAATTAAGCTTTATTAAAATAAAAGTTTAATAATTACATATTATTTATTATTATTCATTATTCTTATCTATTATTATTCTTAAGCATTATGATTCTTATGCATTGTAATTTTGATATATCATAAATCTTATGCATTAAAGCATTCTTGTCTTGTTATTAGTTTTTGACCAATAGCGAGGCTTGATGCCATGTGATTAATTCTTGTAATTTTTTACATCATAGTAAATCTGATTGGTTAGTAATCTAAAATTTAATTGACCAATAATTGTGATAGTGCCAATTGTGGCTGGATATTACTTCACTTTAATGATACTCTAAATTAGGGGAACTGTTAAAGCATTATACCTATGTGATATATGTGACTGGTATTCATTTCGAATGGTAATTCACTGCTATAGTCAGAGATTCTGAATATGCAATATGTAATATAAATCAGAATGTATAATACTGTATGTAATAGTAATATATAAAGTATGATAAATATCAAAAAATCTTTTTGACTTATCCATACCTACAAAATTACTAATGTCTTGAGAATATTATTATGCAACATTAGTTAGGAGCTGTTTCTTTTAATGTTGCTGATGATATATTCTTGGTAGTCAGAATTACAAAGTAATAAGCATAATGTTAAACAAAGTGAGACTTTTTTTTACTTTATTTTATCACTAATGTTGTAATGTTGAACAAAGTAATTTTTTTTTTTACTTTTTTTATTTATCACTAATGTTATTCACTTATAAATTCCTTTCTTATTGTTCAATTCGCCATTTCATTTCTTATTCACTATATAATCATTTATTCACTTCTATTTTTTGGTATTTTTTATTTTCAATATATTACAATTTGAGCACATGCCAATCACACATATATAAAAAATTAAAAATACATTCTCCAAAAACTAAAAATACATTTAATTACTTTATAATGAACTTGAAATGGACTTCATAACTTTAACACCTGATCAAAAGCATGTTATTCTCTTTAATATTAATTAACCACTCAAAATCCCACTATCTGAGTTTAATAATGAGTAGTGATCTCTGGTTATAAATATATGGACTACATTCAACTACAAATATCATGTTAATGATGATTTGTGGAAGACTTATATTTGTCATTTCAACAAATATAAGCAATTGAGTACTTGAAAAGAAGAAATACCAAGTGAGAAATATCAAAAATCAATAATCTGACCAGCAAATTTGTGCTTCACAAAAATCAAAGTAACTTAATTTGTTACTAAATAAAAAATATGGGTTGAACGATATCATGATTTTTCTAACCACACATATATTTTGGAAGATAGTAAAAGACTAAAATGATTACAGGCTATTCATATCTTAGTTGAAAATGAAGTTATTAAGAATTATTCATTACCAGAAATTGTGCATATTGTTAAAGAATATGCAACTAAAAAATTGGATCTCGATTCTAGTATCAAAGAACTAAGATGAATAGAGGTTGCTAATATAAAATATAAGACTAATTAAAATCAATCCTCCTATTTTATTGGTAGCATTAATCTAGAGTTCAATATAAATGAAGTGATTTCTTTACTAGTAAATAAAAAATATTTAATTGAATGTTATCAAACCATTTAACAATCTACTCAAGACTTTATCTTTGTGAATCCAGATCAACTTCAAAAGCTTCAAAAATATAGATGACTAATACTTATTGATTCAACTCATAAAATCAATAAATATGATTAGTATTTATTTACACTGTATATTCATGATGGATATGAATGTTAGGATGTGAGAGAACATTTTTTTGTAAGTAATGAAACTAGTAATATGGTAGCAGAAGTCTTAATAATAATTCGATGACTTGCTCACTGCTGGAAGTCTTGGTACTTCCTTGCAGACCAAAGTAATGTGGAGATTAATAGCATCAAAATCATATTTCTGGGTATTCAAAAAAGTAAGCAAGAGTGTGATGTTCTCTTTTACACTGTTTATGTTATGTGAACTTGGATGGGCAAGATTTATCATGTAAAAATATGAGACAAAATAAATTAAGTGATGCATAAATTAATAAAAATTACTTGCAAGAAGTCTATCTAACAAGTAATAAATAATTATCTGGTTCCTACTGTTCAGCAGTACATTCTAAGAAACTATGTGCAAAATACATACTAGTGAGCTCTTTGGGCCTGTCAATACTCTTTTCTTCTTTTACAGGTGACTTCAACAAATATCTTGGAGTCCTACCATAATGAATTGAAACAAAGAACCTCTCTATATCATGGTCTAGTTGGTAGGGTATAATTTTTTTATACTCTGATGTTTGCATGCTATTTATCACTAATTCTAATAATTCTAATAATTTTTATTAGGCATATATCATCATGTTATTTTACTTGATAAAAAGAAGCATTCAGATTCTAAGTATGCTGTCTTTAAATTTCATACTATGAAGATTTCTGTTGATGATATTGACTGTAAAATTCTTGATGAAATTCACAAGTTTCCTTTTCCAATCTAACAAATAATTATTAGTGAGATCTGTACCATCAAAAAGAGAATAGAATATGATAAAGTGGCACCTGGTCTAATATCACTCAAATGTCATTGCCTATTCTTCTGTAAGTATTGCTTGTCCTGTCAACATATCTTTCATGAGCACATGTATAGAGCTAGGAAATTATTAACAACCAGTACTTGAGAAGATTTCCAGCAAATATTTGAAGGGTGTGGATTCAAGATATATGAGCATCATGACTTAAAAGAAATGGTAACATCTGACAAAACTGAATGTGAGAGAGCTACTAAAGATTGATGACAGATCATAAATAAATTGATAAAAAGAATGAGAAATGCATACTGATAAGTTAAGGAGGGGAAAATATCAAATAAATAATTTTATTTATGAAAAAATTGAAAGTTAGTTTGGAGTCAATTTTAAATTAATTTATGTTTTTATTATTTACACAAAATAATATTAAGTAATTTTTTTAAAATAATATATTAATTTCCATAATTATTATTTAAGTATAATAATTTAAGTGATTTTTAAATGAATAATAATACATTAATTTGTTTAATTATTTGAATATAATATCAATAATATTAAATAATTTTTTTTCAGGTACTTGAAGTGAAAAATGGATTTTTCCAGAAGTTACTGTTAGATCTTTAAACAGAGTTCAAATATAATATTCAAGGAGGCTGCACTTTTTATTTGAAGTTGCAAATTATCCAAAAGAAAAATTACTATCAAACTATAAAAATAATCAAGCAAATATTATCAATCAACTTACTATCTCTTGATCCCTTCACTTTTAATTACTAACACATTATTTCTTGATTTCTTTACTTTAAGAGACCATTCCTTATTACTAATTGTCACATCATTTATAATATTAGTAAATAATAATAAAAAGTAAAAAAAAAACTCACTATTTCTTGATCCCTCTGTTATTAAGTGGCTGTTTCTCATTACTAATTATCATTGTACCATTTAATTGTAAGTAAATAATATTAATGATAAATAAAAAAAGTAAAAAAAAAAATCACTTTGTTCAACATTACGACATTAGTGATAAAATAAAGTAAAAAAAAGCTCCACTTTGTTCAACATTACGCTTATTACTTTGTAATTCTAACTATCAAGAACATGCCACCAGCAGCATTAAAAGAAACAGCTCCTAACTAATGTTGCATAACAATATTCTCAAGACATTAGTAATTTTGTAGGTATGGATGAGTCAAAAAGGTTGTTTGATATTTATCATACTTTATATATTACCGTTACATACAGTATTGCACACTCTGATTTATATTACATATTGCACACTCGGGATCTCTGACTACGATGGCGGATCGCTATTCGAAATGGATACCAGCCACATATGTCACGTGGGTATAACGCTTTAACGGTTCCCTAAATTAGTTCATTTTCCAGCCACATCAGCCTCTTTTAGCTCACATGTTTTTTGCAGTCTGCCCTATATAATATAGCTAATGATATAGTAGACATTACTTAAAAGTTTGCAATTAATTTTTTTAGGGGCTTAGACCTAACACTGAGCCAACGTGATAAAAAATCACATGATATGTTTCAATTCCGACCAAAACATATAATAAGTATCCGATTTAAAATGCTTATAACTCTTTGTTTAAAACTTAAATTAAAATTCTGGCCGGTAGTTTAATAGTACACATCTTAAACAAGATTATTACCAGTTTAGTTTTTTAAAATTCGATTTATTAAAGGCTCTAATAGCCTTTAAATATTATGTAATTTATTGACGAGTTAAGATTTCCCGCACCATATTAAAATTATATTTTAATCAAGATTGGCTCCTGAACATAGGAGCAAAAATATTCGGTCGGGTGGTATCCACCAACGCCATACATATCGGCGAGCACCGTAAGTTTAGTTTTCCTATTTACCGTTACGCAGTCTTCGTTAAATGTTGCATGACACACATCAAGTCACATGTTCTAATTTTTGGTGAGTTGCTTTTCCCACAAAAAGAATAATGAAATCGAAAACTTATAATCTTTGAAGAATGGCTTCCAAGTCGAAAAAGAAGTTCAGAAACACAACCAATATCAATATTACTAACAATACTAACGAATACGCTTATGACCGTTCTCGTTTTGGGCATATACTCAATTGGGATAAATATTGTCTTTATATTAATGGACACCCCACTCTTATTGTCAGTGGAGAATTTCACTATTGGCGTATACCTGACCGAACGCGTTGGTCGAAAATTCTGAGAAAATATCGTGCATCCGGTCTTAATTGTGTACGCATTTATTTTCACTGGGGCTTTCATAGTCCTGACGATAGAGTTTATAATTTTGAAGGAAATAAAGACGTGGAGTATTTGTTGACATTATGTGAGCAACTCAACTTGTTTGTGCTCGCCGCACCTGGTCCTTATATATGTGCAGAGACACAAGCTGGTGGTTTTCCTTTTTGGTTAGTTGCGAAAAAAACGCGATTGCGTAACATGTGGTTTACTGGTTTTAAGAAATACGACGCGGTTTTTTGTGAATATGAACAACAGTGGTTTCAGAATATTTTACCGATTATTGCACGTCATCAAATAACATTTAAGTCAAATGGATGTGTAATCGGTGTACAAATTGAAAATGAACTATTTGAAAAGATCAAAGGAATTTACTCTTTTGGACTGCCAGATGAAATGCGATTTTTGTGTAAAGTTGCTCGTGAGGAAGGAATTACTGTACCATTATTTACCAATGACCCATATGAAAATGGTTCTTGGATAGCACGTACAGAATCAAATCTTAAAAAAGGGTTCTTTAACAATTCTTTTGGTCTTGATCTTTATGGATTCGATAAATATGTCGGTGAATATCGTTTTCCTTAGAAATTTCAACGGGTGATCAATTCAAAGGCATCATCATTGTCATCGTCATTATTATTATGATTATAGATAATTAATTAGTTTTGCAATAACAATTTACAGTATTTGTACCTGCAAGTGCAACTCCTTGGAATCTTAATGCAGAACAAGATCCAAAGAAATGGGCTCCATGGGAACCTAAAGAATTAACAAATGGTGTTGATAAGCTTGAGGAAACAGTCCGTGGTTTCGGTCACGATGCTGCCAAGGTATTTAAAGATTGGGTTTCGCAAATCAAAAAATAATAATAATAAATTTGATCCGCAAATATTAATTTAATTCATATGAATTGTTCAGTATAGAATTTCTCTAAAAAGAATTTCTCATTGAATCGTTAATTTTACCATTATAACATAAACCTTAATTATTTGAAGATGTGCTATTCAGTATGTTTTGATTTCTGGGTCATTTATGATCTAATTTTTTATTTGTAATTTGACAAAAATCCAAAATCTAGTCTCCACTATTTATACCCGAACTTCAAGGAGGCTGGTTTAGTTCCTATCAGTTGAATTATACGTTTGACGATATCTATAACTATTACGGAGATCATTATACTAAGCTTTTGTATGAATCTGCATTAGCTCAAGGGGTTACTATTTCTTCAATTTATATGTTTTATGGTGGTACTAATTGGGGAACTATCGGAGACACGTAAATATCAACTTCCCATTTATATATTTTGATAAATTTATATTAATTACTAATCATTTTTTTTTGTTACAGTGATGCATATACATCTTACGATTATTCTGCATGTATTCGAGAATATGGTTATATGTCTAGTCGCCTTCGTCATCTTCGACTCTCAAACTTTTTTGTACGAAGTTTTTCTGATGTATTTACAAAAACAGAACGAGTCTCGAAACCAACAGTTTCATCATTAACTGATAACGCAGATGTGATTAATCTTCAAAGGAAAACAATAGTCGATGAAGAAGCATGTGGAAGCCAAGTATTATTCACATTTATGCGAAATTTCAGTAAAGATAAGAGAACACAATTTCAAATTGGTGTTGAATATACAGATTTCTCGAGAGAAACGATTCAAATACGATTACAATGTTTTCTTCCATACAAAACCTCGTTTATTGCTCTCGGAAATTATATTACAATAACTGGATTAAGGCTGATTATGTCGACATTGCCAATTTATTTGCGGACATTTATCCCTGGTAATGAAGAAAAAAGTGGTGGAGATGAGATTTGGATTGTGCCGGTAAATAATACGGGAGAGTTAGCATTTGAAGGATCAATTATTGTAGAGGGAAATATTGGTCCATCTGTCAGAAATGATAAATCTGCATGTGTTGTATCTTTTAATGGTAGACCTGGTTATGCCAAAATACAAAAGGCAAACGGTAATGATATCGAGGGAAATGGATTTCTGTATGTATTGGCACTTGAAAATGATTCAATCGGAACACTCCATGCAATATTTGATGAACCCCATTGGGCACAATCATTTGAACGTCCACATTCTCATGTTCACGCACCGTTATTTATTACATGGGGGACTCAATATGTATTCTATGATTACCAAACTAAAAAAATCGAGATCGAATTTGGGGAAGATGAAGACGAAATCACGATACTTTCTCCTACGAAACCTAATTATAGTTTTCAACCCGAAGAAAATTCTATATATCCGTTACCATTTATATATACAAAAAAATTAAAACCAAATCATTATCAGGGCACGTTAATACATCCTTTACTTGAAGGTTGGTGCACACGATTGACGGATTTCTCGGATCTTGAATGGCAAGCCACAGATCTGAGTAAAAGTGCACTTGAACATTTTTATATATCAGGACATATTATTTATCGTGGACAGTTTGCAGCAAAATATTCAACTAACAGTGGTGCAATGCATATTATAATCAATATGCGTCATCGATGTAGTGTATTTTTGAATGGACATTTTGTTGGTGGACACACGACTTATTCAAAAAATCTTTTTTTCCCTGGGGCAAAATTGGGCCCAGATCCTTTTAATTCTTCTCTTGGATCAAAAAAATATAAACTAACCGAATTTACACATCCAGCCGGGCACACAGAACCTAATGAATTGATTATTGTTGTAGAGAATTGGGGTTTATGTCGTCAATCTGTCGTATTTAATGACGCGCCAAATCCAAGAGGAATTTTGTCGGCACGTGTTACCGGGTTAGGTCGCGGAAATAAAGTAAATTGGGCTGTTGCTGGGGTTGATGTACGACGGTTGAATACGCCTTTCAACACCACTGGTTTCCCCGACGAGCATAAAAAAACCGGTTGGGCCGATTACGATGGCGGTATTTTAAATTATGGCGTAAATCCATCAGATGGCATTCGTTGGTGGAGCTTTCGATTTAGACATCCAATCGAGGAAACACACAAAAATATAGTTTCCGCGCCATTAAGACTTGTATTAGAAGGGTCATTCAGTGCATATGTATTATTAAATGAAACTTTAATCGGATATTATCACGGAAATGGTGATACGCCACAGCATAATTTTTATTTAATGGATGGTTTGTTAAACCATTCAGAAGATAATAAAATTGTTTTGATGGTGTATTCTTGGGAAGACATTTCTAAAGATCAAGTGAAAGTTGATATACGTGGATGGGAAGTAGATGATTTTCACAAGACTGGAAATCTTGTTAAATTACAAGATACTCGTTATTATGATCATGATTATAAGGAGTTGAAGAGTTGGTTAGTTTGGCGTGAAGATATTTCATTTAGTCAAACATTATAATTTAGATATTTATAATTTAATTATTATTATATTTAATCTCAATTTTATTGTTTTTATAACAAGTTATTGGTCAATACAGTATATAATACATTTTCATAAACTTTGTCTATTACCAATAAAGGCACTTGCTTTCCTATATTTACTGTGTTGAATAAAAGTAATTGAATATTCTTAACCTTCCAAAAATCATATATAATGCTATAAAATTTTCCGAGCACAAAGAACAACACAAATATTGATCATTTATGTCTTTATAGGTTGGTAAACTTTTACAGTGACGGCCAAAAGTAATGCATCAGGGGTTAAATTTATTAATAAAATATAGTGAAAATTAAACTTTTCTCTATATTAAAATTTATAATTTTATTAAGTATTTTGATATATAAAAATAAACAATTATTTCTTAATAAAATTATAAATTTTAATATAGAGAGAAAATTTTTAATTTTCACTATATTTTATTAATAAATTTAATTTCTGATGCATTATTAAATATTTATCAAACATTCTCATGTCTCAAATACAATTGATATATAGTTACATCTCCCTAAGTGCATTCCATAATAAAAAAATAAAAAATGTGTATTTAGAAAGAGTATGTATTTATAGAGATCAAAATATATAGAGCTCTTATAAGCTGAAATCAGAATATATCATGCATTTAGAGAGAAATTATATAGCATGTGCACTTAGAAAGGACATACTTAGAGAGATGTAATTGTATATAATGATGTGTAAAATTAATATATTGCTTATATTATTAATCATTAATCATATAATTTTTACTTATCTCATTTTAAAGTCAACAAAAGAAAAAAGCCTCATATTATCATTATACCACAATAAACTTATTCTTTGTCTCGTAATTTAGCCGCAGACATATGAATGTCTCGTAATTTAACCAGATCACCGGACTATGTGGCGCCAATCGTGGCTGGGCACTACTCCGCTTTAACGGTACCCTAAAGATAGTATACTTTTTTCATGAACCACGATTTCTTAAAACAATAGATTCTTTGAATTTCTTTTATAGATAATATTTCTATATCATAAAATAATCGATAATTAAAAAGAATTATTATTCATAATCAATCTTGATGTTGATAATATATATTCGGGTATGTGAAATAAAAGATGGTGACGGAAGAATTTAGTATCTGATTCGAAAGAACGCCTCGTTATTCATATCGTTAAGTAAATCTAGCCTAATTTAAAAGTGCCAGTGATTGAGTTTCTAAACGCGCGAAGCTCAATACTGGAGTATTAAAGGTTAGAAGCATAAACTAAAATGTGCACGTTTCGAGAAATCACATGATTTACATTAAGGATATTTCGTTTTATTGTAATGACAAGATTTTATTCAGACATTTGATTTGCGCATGCTTACTCAAGATAAAAAAAGAATTTAATCAATTCATTCAAGGTCGCAAAGCACTCTTGCCAAATTTTTCCTCAATTCTTCTCTTTACATGCAAATAGAAAGCTTCAAATATACTTCTTTCGTTTCCACTTGTCCATGACATTGTCATCTTTGCAATTGAACCATTAACATTATTACCATTTCGTGCTTCCGCCTGCTCCAAGTGACACTGGAATTCGAATAATGGTTCGCTATCAGTTTCCATATTCATTTGCTGTTGTGATTGTTGTGCTGCTTTTGCTCTTTCTCGTTGTCGCCTTGCTGTTCGTGACCACGTATTAGTAGGTGCATTCCCAATAAACGTATTTGTTGCCGTAGTCCAAGCACCTCCGATTTCGAGCGCTCTAAATAGCGTATCCAAGTACTCAAAGAGACTGTTAATCTCTATAGTCCATTGCGTAGTAAACTCTGTCATTGAAGGTCCTACTTTACGAAGTCTTCTCGACGAAGGCTGTGAGATGTTCTGTGTGTAAATAGTCGAGGGTAATTAATATAAAAAAGTTGACTTTCTTTCCTTCGTCTATTGTTACTTCACTCATCGATTAGCTGATTTCTAAGAAAAAGTTCTTACTGATGGAGGCCGATGAATCCCAAATGACCAACCAATTCCCCATCGTCTTGTTTGTCCTTGACAAAATTCAGTCAACACATAATTATCAATCTAGTAATGTTGGGATGAGTCAGTGATGAATAAGAATATGTTTGTAATTGTATATAATAGTAAAGGAATACATATATATATGTATATATATATATATATATATATTTATACTTTGTTCTTCTTTAATTCTGATACAATTTTATTAATAGTTTCTTTTCGCCCAATCATCGATGTATACCAACTATCATATTATACGTAGAGAATCTATTAGAAAATATATTTCAATTATCAAGGACAAGAGTTGTGAATATACCTGAATCTCTCCCTTAACATCAAACTCTCATCAAGGATTTGCTTAATAAATCCAAATTCTCCCCCCTTTGTAAAAATTTCTTCAGGTGAGCCTGTGGAGGTCTTTTAATTTACAAAGAATAGATTAATTATATTTTTATTATTTTCAAGCTAGCCATTATAATTCCTGACCGCAGAAGATTGTTTCTTTTTAAACATCATTCCTGCTTCATATTGTTCTTGACTTTCGTAAAATGGCGGGTTGCACATGCAAAAAGAGAATCTGAATAAAAAGTAAATACATAATTTATCTCGATACATTTTAATAATTAATTGATTTAAAAATAAGAATAATAAATAGATACCGTTGAATATTCAAGTTTTTAGTTTCATCGTTGGCATCAAGCAAAAGTTTTGATTCTTTTGATTTTAATATGATTGTTATTCGAGCTTGGAGATTATTTCGTTCAACATTCGCCTCGGCAAGATTTATCATTCGTTCACTTATATCTTAATACATAATGATTAATTTATTTATAGTACCGCATATATAAAAACATTAGCTGTACTACTAACCAGTTGCCACGAATTTCCAATGTTTGTTAAGAGTGCAACCTAGTAATGGGTATATGCAAGATGCCCCAGTACCTCTAACAGCAAATTATCATCAATTTTATTATTTGTCAACACATAGATTTCTAGATAGTAAAATTTCACTTACATGTCAAACCCGTATACTTCTCCATGATCATCATCGTCAGTATATGAAATCAAATCTTCCAACCAATGGATATAATTCAGTCTATTCTCGAATAAATATAAAATATGGTTTAGATCAACAGAACAAGATCTTGAATCTTGAAGTAATCTTTTAACCTGTTTGGAATCTAAAAAATATTCTATTATAAGTCAGTAGTAATAAAAAATTATAATTTCAATAGTGCTTATTCGTGATGTGATACCATCGGACACAAAGTATCCAACGGGATATCAAGCTTAAGGTCAAAATCATGTTGCAAAAGGATATATGTAAGCTTTCTGCATAGAATTGACACATTAATATGATGATCTATATATACCCTTTAATCAAATTTAGTTAAAAAGGCTTACTGTACAGCAAGTGGATCTTTAAAATCAATATATGCTTCTCCATTTATTTTATACTTTACACTGTAAACCACAAATCAAAATTTCTCAGTCAGTAAAATATTTGGTAACCACGTTTGAATGAGCTCATTCAACCATACAATGGATAAAAAGACGCGTATTTATAAGCAAGTATGTTAAAGTCAGGCGGATTATTCTTGTATCTGTTTCGTGGATGCATTTTTTTTTTGCAAAAGGAACGTAAATTCGATCGATTATGTCGATCACATAGTAATCAAGTCCTTTCCAACGGCGCCACATACACCGGATGCGACTTTAATCAAAGCCACATTGATCTACCTACATATGTGAAAGTGTTCTACATACCGGATTTACTAATAAAAGCGGGGCGTATCCTCTTAATATTTCGAGACCCAGCAGTGAGAATCGAGCATAAAGTCTATCATTCGATCCTTTAGATTCTGGTGAATCGAATGGTAGGTTTTATATTTAATTCCGGCCACTAGGTCTCAAGATATTGAGCTCTGTATGTTGGAATTATAATTTATTTTTGACGAACACTTTATGTACAGCTTCTTTGGGGCTCAATATCTCGAGACCCAGCAAGTATAAAGTTGATCATTCGATTCCCTAGGTTCTGGTGAATCAAATGGTGAGCCTTTCACTCACCGTATCTCAAGATATTGAGGCCGTACGTGAAATTACTCATTATTACGGATTTCATTATTTTTTGTAATTGCGAACTTTTACACCGATTACGAATCAATTGCGAGTATTAAATTACGGCAAAATTACGATTTTTAAGTCAAAAAGTTGCAACCTTTTCAACTTTATTAAACTATTACGGCATGCAACGCTACCCTGCACTTATCTCACTTTCTGATATTCCACTTGAAAGTTCTAATTCTTTTGCAGCGACTACTCGAATACGCTGTTGTTTTTCCAGTTCACGTCGTTTATTAAAATATACAATCTTAACGGATGTTATTTATTGAATTCAATTATATGTCAATAATAAATTATATATGATTTACTTGAATATAAGAATAGTTATACAACAACGCACCCAACTACTAGGACACGCTTCTTCATATTCTTTTTTCTTTTGTGTGCATTCACGAGAGTCAATAACGTTTTTATTTTGCTTTTTATCGAGGTTGCTATTTTTTACATTTTCACTGCCTACGTTATTTGCAGTGGAAGCTTCAGCAAAGTCAAGACATGTAAAATAAGCGTCACGAAGTCTCCAACAGTTTTCACGCTTCTCTCGTTGAGTTTGAGTAGTTAAGGAAGTTTCGGATGGCATTTTCAAGCTATCAGCATAGTTAATTATCAAAATTCACAAATCTCATATTTAAGAATTGGATTTAAATATCATCTAACATTTCGCGTAGATCATTAAAATTTCGCGTACCCATTAAAGCCTGTGTGGTAAACTGGGAGTTAATCAATCATAATAAAGAATGTTTATTTGTTATATAGGATAAACTAAAATTATTTCAACCTTATTATTAGAGTGAGGTAACAATATTACTGCATTAATCAATGAACATAGTTTCTTTCGTTGTTGTCGTTATCGTTTCTGTTGCAACTGTTGAAATTCCCGTTTCATCTTCTGGTAATTTTTTTAATTTCTTTGCAGACGATGAATTAGCATTTTGATTTAATAATTGTCCTTCCTTATCCCTTTTTCTTTTGTTTGAATCATCAGCAATCAAATCCGTGGTGCGCATTGGTAACGATGAAACATTTGTTACAGGTGTTCCGGAAAATGTAATTGCGTCATCTTGAATTTCAGATGTTGAATCCGGTTTATTGCTTTTTGGTACACAAGATTTAACTTCTAACCCTGTAGTGGTGGTGGTGGTGGTGGTGGTGGTGGTGTCAGTTTCACTGGTAACCATATCCACAGTATTCGGAGTTTTTGGAGGTGATAATGCCCAGGTAAACATCATTGAGTTTATCGAATTTGATTCATTTTTCCTATTCACAGATCGGAAGTCAGTGATGGCAAACTGAGATAATGACGATGTTAATGCCGATGACATTGTCTGCCTGGGCCCTGAATTAGAAGCCGTTTTGGGTTTACTCTGGGAGATCGAATTTTCAGCCTCATGGATAGTATGGGCCGCAGCAGTAGTGGTAAAACTATCCTCCATATTATTTTTGTTAATTTTAGACTCTTTAGGCTTTACTCTTCCCTTTCCTTTAATATTGGATTTAATAACTATGGGCAAAGTCGAAGATGTTTCATTTGGAATAACTTGTGTGTCAGCAAATGGATTCAAGGGTAGTGAATCTTCTATGAAATTAAGAAGATTTTAGTAATCAAAAAAGATAAAAGAAATGCCAAATGCAAAAAAAAAAATTACTTGTTAGTATCAACATTTGGTATTCTGCAAGCGGATGATTTTTGTCACCAAACTCGTCTTCGAAGAGAGATCCCACTGCAATAGATTTTAAGGGTTGTACTATCTTTGGCTTTATAATAAAGATGAACATGTTAAAATAAAATAATAGTTTGAAGCATAACACAAACAATCGGACTTACCCTCCTCTGATGATGATCTTGATTACTCTTCTTAGAATGACGCGGCCTTGCTAGAATATCATTCATGTCAAAAGAAATGGATCTCAACGTGACCCTATAAATAAATTGTGATAATTAAAAAAAAATAACATACTGGGTGTCGTTTCCGATGACATTGCATCAGATTCTTGCATTCCTTCGTCTTCCGAAAGGTAACCTTCAGGAACAAGCCAGTCATCTTCATCCTCATCCTTTTCAATATATGATTAATAAATAATGAAAAGAAAAATAAATTTCAATAGCTCCAATAATGAATTTGGTTTTACTTCAGAGCTCGAAAAAGCTTCTGCGTCAGATTTCATTCGGAAGTCCTCGTCATCTGGATCATCGTCATCGTCATCATCACCTTCACTTTTTAGTTCTTCGCCTTCTTCATCTTGTTCCCATTCTGCTGCACTATCATATTCGTAATTTAGGAGATCGGTGTCTCGCCCAAATGGTCGTCGACCTGAAATCGCTTTACTTTTTTTGGTCCAGGTACCTTTTAAGAAAATAAAATGTATCGAACATAATAAGTTATGAAAATTACTACATGAATTCTCATTATTACATGAGGAAAAAAATTCAAAAACAAACCATAATACGCAGGTCTATAAAAATCCTCATAGAATTGCAACAATTTCATTTTTATTTTGCTTAAATCTTTCAACACATCGGAAGGATCTCCTATAAATGACGACTCAACTTCACTGTCCATTGTCATTTTGTCATTATCAGTTGAAGATGCAACAGCCGGATCGCAAGCTTTGGTGTCAATCTCCATATTAGCAACAACAGGCTCTGGTGCAGAGCTACCAAGTCGTCCTTGCATTAAATCTTTTACAGAAATCACTTTTCGGGCACCTCGTTTCTTCAATAATTTTTTATTAACTATTGATAAAAAATTTCTTAAATTTTCATTATGTTCGGCTGTTTTAAGCGGGATTTCGGAGAAATTAGGTGAAGATCCATCAAATAATGAAGCATTAAAATCTTTAGAGGCAGAATGCTCGAATCTGTTTATGGGCGCCATTGTCATCGTTAACTTAACTTCGAAAGGCCGGAAATGATTATAGAATGATGCGAGTTTTGGATCATCGTGAGTCACTAAATAAACCAAAGAAAATTGTGTAATAGAAATCATAAAGAAATTATTAAAGAAAAAGCGATCAGAAGGTTACCTCCTTTCTCTTCTTTTGGAGGTTCTTTTTTGATAGGAGAAAAGTAATTCATTAGATTCATCTTTGATTGAGCCTATTTTTACAAAATATAATAAATGATTAGATTATATTTCTAAACAGAATTTCATTATTATACTTTTTCACCTCGTCTTTTTTCTTTTGCTCCTCGTCTTTTTTTCGCTTTTCTTCTTCTTTCTTTCGTTTTTGCTCTTCTCTTAGACGTTCCTAGAAATCAAGATCAAATGGCAAATAAAAATATGTGATCAATAATAATATATGGGCAAACTCAATAAAATTAATTACCCTTTCTTTTTTAGCAGCTTCTTTTGCTTTTCGTTCAGCTTCCTATCAGGATTTAGCCAATCAATAAAATAATAAAGACAAGATCGCGAGCTTTATAAATAAAGATACCTTCTTCTCTTTTTCGGCAGCTTTCTCAGCTGCCTTTTCCATTGCTCTACGTTCTCGTTCTTTTTGTTCAGCTAAGAGTACTGCGGCTCTTTGTTCTTTTTCTCGCTGCTGCAATAATATTGTATCATTATTAAAAGATCGAAATGAAATAAGTATATAGATAATAATTTTCTGGAAGCAAGTAAAACTTAGTATCTTTCTTATTTTATCAACCCTTTTTTCTTTTTCCGCCGCCTTTTCGGCTGGTGTTTTATATCTTTGAGTAGACGATGGTGATGCATGGGTTTGCTATCACCAGAAACGTTAGGAGATGAGTAAATTTATGTATTGGAATTCTTCAAATACTCGGAGAAGATAAAAAAACGCGTCATTTATTCATTATTATATACCATTTTAGCTTTAGCAGATGATTTTTTATCGATTTTTATTTCTTTCTTTTGCTGTTGCCCTGTTGACGACACCGTGAAAGTATTGTTGGTGGTGGTAGTGGAATTGAGTTGGTTTTTGGCTCCTTGCGTGTCAATTTTTTGCTAAATCGCGAAAAAAAATGTTATCCTACGCGTATTTCTTCGAAGCCCAACAACTATATATCCTAATTACAAACTTTGTCAAGCGTAATACTATTATTATTATTAGCATCCATTATCTTTAATAATACTACTTTATTCGTAGATATTGTTGAAAGATCAAAGAATTATATAGAATATCGATACATGTGTGTGTATATATATATATATAGATAGATAGATAGATTTTGCATATATATTGGATCTCAACCAAAAATGCGACGCGTTTTTGTTTTAGGATTGGCAAAGCAACGCGTCTATTTTAATAATATTAATAATATTAACTTTACAATCCATACTTTCAGTACAAAAGCCGACTTACAGTTGCTCCAGAAACTCCGTCAAGAGACAGAAGTTAGTATTTCAAAGGCAAAAGAAGCCTTAGTTATAAATAAAAATGATTACGAGAAAGCGCTTTCCTGGGTTCTCGAGGACGCGAAAACTAGCGGGGCCATAAAAGCGGAAAAGCTACGAGGACGTGTAGCAAAAGAAGGGCTGGTAGGAGTGGTGGTTAATAATATTGATAAAAAAGATCTCTCAAGTCAAAGAGGTGCTATTGTAGAGGTAATCATTCGATGTATGATAGGATGACGGTATTTTTATTCCGTTAAAACATTAACGATAATATCAAGTAAAATAGGTAAATTGTGAAACAGATTTTGTGTCTCGCAATGAGATGTTTAAACAATTTGTCGCGCAGATTGCTTCCACTTCGCTCTTACTCCCGGTAGAAGACTTATCATATGACAATGAATTACCAACAATACAAAATATCCCACTTGATCTCCTCAAATCTTCTCCTTTGCTTCCTCTTCCTTCTATTACGAGCTATGATCATAAATTTAATACGGTAGAACAATCCGTTGGAGAACTAATTGGGAAATTAGGCGAGAACATCACTTTGCGACGCGTTGCTGTGGTAAACATGAAAGATTCGTGCAAAGAAAATAGCCGAAGTATTGTAACAACCGGAGGATATGTTCATGGTGGAGATGAATTAACCGGAAAGATCGGAGGATTAATCTTATTGCAATCATCGGGAGAAACTTCTCAACAGCAACAGTCATCACAAATAATTTCTAAACTGGCGAAAAATCTCGCGCGTCAGGTAGTTGGCTTAAATCCAAAATACATAAATGATGATGAAAATAACATTATACTTGATGAAGAGGTAGAAGATAGAGAAAGTTTCTTGAATGAGAATGTGCTAATGAGACAAGCAAGTTTATGGGGCGGTGGATTAATCCGAGATGTTATGAAGCAAACGGAATTGAACAGTAAACTTCAATTAAAAGTGTTGAACTTTATAAGATGGGAATGTGGCGAAGGAATAGAGAAACAAGACACTAATTTTGCTGCGGAGGTCATGAAACAGGCTGGTTTGACTTGATTTGTTGTGTCAATAAAAATAGTATATTAAAAAAAAGCTCTCTATTGTTAACATGATAACAACCATAAATAAATAAATAAATAATTACTTATAAATTAACAAAGAAATGCTAATAAAGCATCCATTCTATCTATTCTAAAACTTTTAATATTCCACATCATCATATCCATCGCTGGGTAGATGATGATGTCCTGGCCCACCAAA